ATCGAGTAAGTTCTAGTGGCTGTTGTCAACCCTAAATTGGATATGTTCATGTGGCTGTGATTACTCTGATTATCGATGCAGGAAGCACTTCCGAAATGTTCACCAATATATAATTTTTAATTATGTGATTTCATATATTTTGTTATGTGTTATGTATGTTCAGTTAGTGCGAGAAATTTAAAATATAATTTTTGTTCGCCGGGCTTCCGGTCACTTCGAAGCAGTCCCGTCTGGCCCTCGAGTAATTATTTACCACCCGAACTTTAACGGCGTTGATTTTGAAGGTCTTCATCCCCGAAATTTGCATTTTCCTGATTGGGGTTGAACCGTAACCTCGTCGTTCTCGTACGACGCCCTCCCGTTGTAAAGATGGCTCTTGTGCTGCGTGATCGATTTAATGTCGTGTCTACTTTCAAGCTCTTGGCTTCCCGTGAAAAAAGAACACGCACACACAGGATTGTGTATAGCTAGCAGTGTGAACTTGTACAACAGTTGGCTAAGACTCGTCTCCTTGTTCCTGATAGGCTTTCCGCATTCTTAGTATTGTGTCTACTCCATAAGTAGACCTGTGTATTTCCAAAATTTCGGAAGGCGCGTTGAAACATTCAATTTTGATTACTGAGGAGTGGAAAAGGCAGAAACGGTTTACCTCCCAATTTCGGCTAATGCAAGTTGCGTTACCGCTGTTTTTGGGCCGAATTTAAAAATGTCTTCATCTAGTCCGAGCCGCAGGCCAAATGATGATGATAAAATTTATATTCTATCAAATACTCAGTAGGCCATATGTATCTTAAATTAACCGAACGGATTTAGAATGTACATAGTATTGGAAGTTTGCGTCAAAAGATGTCGGAAGAATTTGACTTTGGTACTTATTTTTCCCGTATTCCCCCTACATTGCATAACTTTATCAGTTTTCACCAAAACGCTTCTTACTGAAAATTGCACGTGGCGTAAAACTAAAGCGTAGATCTTAAAACGGCCTTGGTGTGGTATAGATAGCTTTCTCCACAGTAAACGTATACAGGGTGATTCAAAAAGGACTTTACAACTTTGAAAGTGTATAGAAATTTATTCAGAAGGCTTACAAAATCGGTTGAGGTGTCATTTTGTAGCAAAACAAATCAAGTTTTACCTCAAACAGTCATTTTGGTTCGATGTGATTGGCATTGGTGATACTGCAGACATCCCACCTGAAATCAATTTCTTGCCAAACACGATCCAGCATATCCGGTGTCACTTCTGCAACTGCGGCGGTGATTCGAGCTTTGAGCTCAGTGAGATTGGCAGGTAAGGGTGGAACATACACACGATATTTAATGAAACTCCATAAGAAAAAATCGAGAGGTGTCAAATCTGGAGAACGAGGTGGCCATGCTATCGACTCTGTTCGACCAATCCACCGACCTGGGAAACGGTTATTGAGGAAATCCCGGACTTCTGTGAGGTAGTGAGGTGGTGCGCCGTCTTGCTGGAAGTGAATGCGTCCTTTTTGGTCATCTTCGTCTAACTGTGGTATGAGAAAATTTTCGAGCCATTTTCAAATGCACTGCCGCTTGCGCTCACGGTGACGGAATTCGGTACTACAGCACAACGTGAGTCAAACTTGATTTGTTTTGCTACAAAATGGCACCTCAACCGATTCTGTAAGCCTTCTGAATAAATTTCTATACACTTTCAAAGTTGTAAAGTCCTTTTTGAATCACCTGGTATATTGTTCAAGGTTAAGAATATTTGGGATTCATTTTGTCCGCCTATTCACATTTGTACCTGTTAACTGATACAAAGACTGAACTTTCTGTAAGCGAATAGCCGTAGTAGCTGATAGGAAGCCATAGAAATGTACTATCGGGTACCTCGATAAGAAGTGTAGGGCCTTGTGTGTCGTGAGTCAGAAAGCTGTTGGCCAAGACCATAAACTTCTAAATGCATACCACAAGAGGAGCACGTTGTTCTAACAGCGTTGTTATGCTGAAGATTATGGGAAATTTTCACACGCACGTGCGCGCGCACACAGAATTTTGGAATTTCTTTCCCACAGTTGTCGGTGATTCATTTTGAAAGGTGAAGTTCATAAACTAAGCCGTGCTCATTTTTGGGGGAATGGGAGGCGAGTTGTCTCGTCACCTGTTCTGTGAAAGGTGTCCACAAACTCAAGTTTGACCATTAATTGAATTCGCGCAAACTGAGTATGCAGAATGTAGTGCCCCCAGAAGTACCGTGAGTAGGCCTGATGTTGAAAGGCCCCTTTTAAATACACTATATGATTTTACAAGCAATCTACAACAACGAAGCTCCTGCAAGACTTGTTTTGGATCATGTAACGTCGTTTTGTGTTCATTAAAAGAACCCGAGCTTTTGACAATTAGTTTTAATACTGAGTTGGCAGGCATACAATGTGGGCGTGGCTACTCACTGCAAATGCATGGTGTGTGACGTGCAACGAGGCGACCTGACTTTACCTACCGATTTACATTAAATGGCCGTACCAGACGCTGGTAACAGCCAGAGAAGTGCGTCGTTATGGATGACAAAGAACAACTAATAAGTAATTGTGTCCGACTCCTGTATTTCTCCATCTCCGCTCTGTGTCCCATATATCAGTACAGTTTTGTCATAAGTTTTGTTGAGATTTTAATTTTTCTCTAACCATAGAGATAATTCGTGCATATTTATTTGTTCTAGAAGGCTGTGTGTTTGGGTAAGTGGCACGACACCTGGCAGCAAGGTGCCATTATGATAATTATCGACCTGTCCATTTATCTGTCCGTACATTTCCGTTTGTCCATTCAACTAATCATGTGTCACACTGTGCATCCGCCGTTCTGTCTGCAACAGCGGTCTGATAGTGAAGAGTTCTGAGTTCTTTGCTGGCGAAGCGTGAGAATAGGATGTAGTCTAGAGCTGTGTTTCAAGTCGGAGGATTGAACACACACACATTGAGATCCTGTACAGTTCCTTGTAGTGTCACGTGGTTATCTCCTGATCACATTTTGCACCTGTCATTTTCCTGCTACTGCGTACATATGTGCTGTTTGGAAGTGACGTCACATGGTTTCTTCCCAACATGCAATTAGTTTGGCCTGTATGTACAGAATTCTTTAGTGTGAATGTAGCTTTGTATCATACTGGACTAAAAATACTTTTCGTTTCTATTTATTCGAACGTTTTATTTCATTGATATTGTTTTAATCTTTTGAAGCTTCAAGTTCATGTAGGTTTGATTAAAAATCCAGTTGTTACCGCAAAGAAACAACGCGTATTCATTGCAAAGATAACTGGTTAATGCTGTTTCCTTCATCCGAGAATCGTACCAAAAATGCTTAGTTATTGAACGTTAGAACCGTTGTGCATTAAAAAGTTAACACTGCTTAAATACGAGTTTATTAAAGATTGAAACTAATGGAAAGTTCAAGAATTAGTTGCTTTGGAAAAAGAAAGCTAATTGCAGTTTGGTAGTTCCAGAGTGATTGATATTAGTTTATTGGGAAAAACTACGATTAAATGTTCGAACGAGGATTGTGGGTAAGTTGCTGTTTTGTGAGCCGCTGTTCGACACTGCCTGTATAGGTATTTGAACTAGGAGTTGAGCCATATGTTCCCAGGGTTATGTTTCGTATGTCCTCGATGTCGTTAGCTGTTAGCTTTCAGCAGTTCTCACAGTCATGGAACGTAGTGCACGACATAATGACATTTCCTGTCTGTCTTTTGTACAGAGAATGTTTGCGCAATTCCTGTAAAAGACTCGAAATACAACAGTTTTCTACACGTGATCGCATTGTTGTTTTATGGTATGCGATCTGTGTAACTCTTCAGCCGGACAGAAATGTAAACTTGTCAGTAAATCCTGTTACACGCTGATGGTAGGATGAACAAAGAGGTAGATTTCCGAATACATTATCACATGTTCCCATTATATCTACAGTTGTCACTGTCAGAGTCACTCACTGATACGTGGAGCGGGGTTGTTCCCCAGAAGCCACGTGTCGAGACGTAAGAAATTCCCCACCTTTCATCGTACACGAAGAGGGTACATTATCGTGTTCACATGAGCCCGTCATTGGACCCTGTCCTCTGTCCAGACTCAGATGAATCCATTACACAGACCCAAACATGATTTGTTTAATATATTTTGTAATAATAACCTCCTGTCTGCACCTAAATCCCGGAAGTGGGCTCTTCGCTACAGGTTTTGCGACAGCTCCGATGCATGCAACATGCACGTCTAGTGCAAGCAAGCTGATGGTATCGTGAGGTCGGTTCGGTCTTTTGAAGGATTTTTGACTACAAGCAAAGTACACATATGATTAAGTGACTAATGCGTCACAGCTTGCTTAACGTCACAATGCTGGTGGTGTGACTTTACTGCAGACTGCGTCACGTGTTTCGGATTTGATTATTACAGATGTTTCCAGTTGTGCTTTGTCATGGAGAATTTATTGTGTGTCAATTGATACAGAGTTTTCGGAAATCTTTTAACAGTTTTCTGGCTGTAATCACCCAAAGGCTCACTGTATTAGTCTTAACCATTCACGATGAGATGGTAGTTGCTCATATTATAGTCTAAAAATTCCCTGCCCTTTATGGGATCCGGATACGTTTTGGTATTATGTATATCCAAGTCTACAAAATGGTCTCTTCTTCCCTTTGGGTTTTGACTAAAATGTATGAATTAATTCCATGTGCACTGCATGGTCCACCCATCTCACACTTCTTTATTGTATTACCCTATTGCTGAAAAGATTTGTATTCATGGCCATTTTAAGTACAGTAATCCATTTTTAACTACCTGGATCTACTGGGCAGCACCCAAAAGCCATTTCAGTTGAGTTTAACATTTTCATATTTTCCAGACTGAATATTTCTGAAATTTCTTTGGAAATCTATGTGTGTTTGTATTTAACTATAAATAAACTGATAATGTACATGTCCATGCTGTGCAAGGCAATAATTAGCAGATATAATCTCAACCATAAATAGATTTCACTTTGTCATTGCAGAACTCATTTGGACGACCGGACGAAGTGGTGGCAGCTGAAACTCTAGCAAATCATGTGCGATGCAACAACAGTTTTGTGCACGCCGTGTTCCAAGCACAGTTCCGATCATCGCTCACATGTCCGCGCTGCCAGCGCCAGAGCAACACATTTGATCCTTTCCTCTGTGTGTCAGTGCCTGTCCCCCAAAATCAGAGGAGGCCCATTTATGTTATAGTGTTGTATACTTCTCAACAACCTCGACAGGTATCCTTAATTTTAGCTACATCATTTAGTCTCTCATTAATGAAATGTGTAATTTAAGGAACATAAATGTAATCAGTTTAGCACGGTCAGAGCAAGTGGCATATTCTGTAAGAGATGCTTCTTTATGTGTCTAACTGTGATTGGTTCTCCTTGATTTTTGTACTCGATGAATTTGTGCATATTACTTAATTTTTTTTTCCAGTTTTCTGTTGTACCAGTCTAATGTTCACGACAGTTGCATTTTCATGTGGTGCTGGACTTTCTCCACAATCTTAAAATTAACAAACAGGAAATATAAGTTGGGCCTTCTTATTGTCATCTGCTCAGATAAATGCATCTCAGTGAATGTTCTCTTGTGTGAGAGTTTCGTCCAACACATTCTTAGCTGATATCAGACTCGTTACCACAGTTCCGAAATTGTACCGTATTTTTGTGTTGTCTAGGTGAAACTAGGGCTGTCCTTGCCTATACACGCAGAAGTGCGTGAGCTGAGAGAATTACTGGCATCTGACACGGGTATTAAAGAGCCTGACATGTTGCTTACAGAGGTGGATGATCTCGGCTTCCACAGAACATTTGCAGGTATATTACACTGAACATTGGTTTTGATTGAAAAGGGCTTTTAACTGCATGAAGCATAAAACTCAGTGATATGCCACATTAAGTTAAAAGTATGCTGTCTCTTGTTTTGTTTGTTTGATTTCTGTTATGAATTGTTTTATGTGTGATTAATCCAGTATTTATTTATGGAAGAAAGCATAGAAATTGTTGTAGGCTTCCCTTGTGTTGTAGTGGCTCTTTTGCAGTTTATAAATTGAACTAGGCAGTTGGGCGCGACGTTTGGGGACGGACTCTGGAATAAGTTTCGTGGGAATACAGTAATTTCCATTATGATTACTTTTGCTTGTGTCAAAGATGGTATTAGTTCTGTTTCTTCCACTTCATTACCACTGCACTTCCCACAAACTCCCCCTCCACCTTTTATTCTTAAAATCAGATCTTTTGCAAAGTGGCGTTCTACCCAGTAGATCATAAGACTTATTGCAAGCACATGTACAGTAGTTTCACTTTACATACGCAGATTCACAGCCTGTGTCAAGTATCAAAGAGACGGATCCTGTGTACTGCTTGGAGCTGCCGCAGCTGAAGGAGGCAACAGAAGATGTTGGTGGGGCATATGTATTACTGTGTTGGGTGAATCTGCTAGTGGTTGAAGACCATTGCG